TGTATGAAAAAATAATATATTGCATGCAAATTGTAATTTAATATGACGTTGTAATTTAATAATATATGTACACATATATACACACACACACACACGCGCGCGCGCGAGCGCGCGCGCGCACGCATACTTTATTACGAGAATACTTTATCTATATTTTATTATATTTATATGTTATATAAATATAACAGTCTACATAATAATAGCTGAAAAAATTTTGATTTAATTTTTTAGTAAAACTTAATTTTATTAACCCTTTGCCATTTTTCTCTTATAAATTATAAAAAAAATTAAGCTTTGTACGAACGATGTACTACGGCTTTCATCCGTGATACTCATGTTTGGCCCGATTTCCTTACCACAAGTCTCACACAATATTGGATATGGTCAACGCGATGCTGCAAACGCTTTGAAGCGTTTTTTAATTGATCAGTTTGTAAAATTCTTTCTTCTAATTGGTTCATCAAATGCTTCAAAGCATTTGTAACGAGACTTTGATCACAGCCTTTGATCACAACTTTGTAAGCGAAAGGATTAATTTTTATGAGAAGGAGATCCAGCTAATCTAACCTAACCTGCAATTTCAACTTGCTGAACGCAGTCACATTCCTAGTTGAAAATCGACGCATGCGCACTAAAATTTGAGGACCACATAAAAGTGTCCATACTGTATGTACTTATACTGTGACAGCTATCGGAACCACGAAGAATTAGCTCAGTTTGATATAAAATGCCAATCGAACGAGGATTTCTTCAACGACTACTATATTCTGTAATAACAATATATAATTAAATGTCAATTTCTGATTAAAAATTATTATATTTAATTCAATATTGATGAGAATTTATTTTTCACTTACGTTAATTTATATAGAATAGTCAATCCGTAATATCTTAACGCAGGAATAACTAAATAAGATTAGCCTAGAGCGATAATTTTTATTATGTGTCATATGATAGTTCGTTGACATTGGATGGGGTTACATAATACGTTTTCTTTATTATCACTGATAAAGACTTTGTAAGTCAAAACGTTTGAAATTTATAGCGTTATACGAATGTAATACTTTTATTATATGTACATACTTTTATTATACGTCTTTACGAATTTTATATTATTAGATGTACAACTTTGTTTCCGTTTTTTTTCCGAAATTCGAGGCTTTATTGTAAAAAATTGGTTATACATTTATGATTCAAAGTATTGTCCATCGCTGGCCACTACTTTCTCCCATTTCGGGTAGCGTACGAATCCCGCGTCGAAAAAACTGGTCATCTTTTGAGGCTATCCACGAATCGATCCAATTTTTTACTTCTTCATAAGATCGGAAGTGCTGGTCAGCCAGGCCATTGATCGAAACAAGTGATAGTCAGAGGGAGCAACGTCTGCAGAATACGGCGGATGGGGTAGGACTTCCCATTTCAACGTTTCCAAGTATGTCTTGATCACTTTCGCAACATGGGGTCGAGCATTGTCATGCTGCAAAATCACTTTATCGTGTCTCTCGTATTGCGACCGTTTCTTTCAATGCTCGGCTCAAACGCATCAATTGCGTTCGATACCGATCGCCTGTGATTGTTTCAGTCGGTTTTAACAGTTCATAATACACTACGCCGAGCTGGTC